CCTCTTTTCTTTCTTCATCCAAACCTGGCTTCGAATCGTGCGCGACGTTTTGCACGTCTTCTTTTCCCTCCCTCGACTGCACAAAAGACTCGGTTTCGAGGTAACGCGACTTTAAAATCGAGTCCGAACATCTCCAGGCTGAGATCAGCTGGGCCGAAACGCGTGGGAGTGTCTCTCCCGAAGCCGAGATTTATAGATCGTCTTTCTCCACCCCGAGGAATCTTACCGATACGCTCTTGCCAGACGAAAACATCAGCCGCGAGTCTCGGGAAGGGAGACTCGGTGATCGAGCGAAGCAACGCGGTCCAGACGCTCGAGATTGTGCAAAGCCACAGATGTGAAGATCTCGCAACGAACACTCGGCGATCAGTCATCAGCAACGAGACAATTTTCATCGCCGAGACGTCACGAGCTTCTTTTTCCAATGTTTTTTTACATCGTTGAGAGAGTTGGCGGAAATTTCGCTTCAATTTTAACCAATTGCGGACCATAACGAGCGACCGAACCGTATACAATAATTCGTCGCTTTCTTTTTCAACTCGTCGGTGTATATCACTGGATAGAAATTATTGAGAACTAATAAATTTATAATTGGAGTTATAGTTAAGTATAGTTAAAAACTGAGAAAATATTGCAATTTTGGGGCAAAAAATCATTTCAAGGTGATCCAAATTCTTACAATTCGTCAGAAATTGTCAGCAGTGCGGAATAAGAGTAATATTTAATAAGTAAATATTTTGATTGCTTCGCGAAATAAAATGAAAAAGACAACAAGAAGAATCAAAAGATCATTTTAAGATACAACGTCCGTTTGAAATCCTCTGGAACGTGCGATTTCATTTTCTAAATGGATAACGCAACTGTGACACGAGCAACGTAATGGCAGTTCGATCGATCATGAATCCCGGGCGAACTTCTTACTTTGTTACCTTCGGCTGTACGCCCCAGTGAGCAGCTGTAAAACTTCCTCTCGCAGTTAATAACCAAGTTTTCCGAAACTTCCGCGCTGCATTTAATTTCGCTCCGGTGAGCTTCCGAACTTTCGCGCAACTGCTCGCTCGAGGAGTTATGAAAAATTTCGCTGTTGCGCGATCTCTCGTTAACACGTTACGCGATTATATAAACAACGAAAGGAAAGTTGAGGCACATTCGCGTGAAATCTTGGACAATCAATTCCATATATTTGATACTATACGATCGAGAACATTATATTGTAAATTATGTATTATTAAGACCTAACTATATGCTACTAAGAAAATAATGGAATTCTAATAGAAAATTAGTGTTGAAAAAAACAAAAAATAAAAAACGAATTAATTATTCCAAGTGAAATCTCCATGAATTCCTCTTCAATATAATATTCAACATATATCTGACCCAATATGATTTTGTATGTATTTTTCATAAATCCAACACCTAATATAAAGAATTTATTCATTCTCCACTTGTGTATTACTGTATTTTAGTCCATTCTCTAAAGTAAAAATATTTTTCTAGTACGATAATTTATAAACAGAGACGTACACGAGAGATACGTCACATTCGCTACTTAACGATCTTGTTGGAAAAATATTCAATCATTGTCGTTTACGAACGACAAAAGAAAAAAAAAGAAAAAAATTTCTAACTGCAATTGTAATGCATCAAGGGATTGAATACTACCGTCTTCCATTACTTGTTGCTTGTCTATAAATAATTCACTGGCGACGAAATTACCTGGTAGGGAACGTTTTCGTCGCCGGTACCACCATGGCTGGCCATCGGTTTTCCCGCACTGGTCGGAATTAAATTTCTAGATTCATTAGCCCCCGTAGCACGCGTCTCGTGACGCACGAGACGGTCTTCCCTCCCTGTCTTTCCTCCCGGCCGAGTCCCGTTGCTACCTTTCGCTCTTGTTGCCACTTTAAAATGGCCACACGCAGCCGGCATAGCGTCTTCTGGTATAAATACATATGAGAACTGGGTCGCTGCCCTGAACCCCAGTCGCTGCATCGTCTACGAGATTCGCTTCGCCGCTCCCCGGAAGTCTTACCTTTGACCCCACGTGCACGTCGCTACGTTTCCGCTCGTAATTAGTCAGCCCGCCACTCGCGGAGAGCAATATCGATTCTATCAGCAGGCTGGCCGTGATTTCATTAAATTCCTGCATTCGTTTGTTCTCTGGCCTTTCTTTCCCTGACTGTATATCTGTGGCTCTCTTTCACTGGGCGAGATTCGTAGTGAGGTTTAGAAAAATGAATAATGCCGAGGGAAGTGTGTGTGTGTATATATATATATATATATTTTAAATTAAAGGTCTCGGGAAGATTCAGTAAATGAATAATGAAAGAAACGACAAATAATTATTTTTGCATTGTTGATAAATGACAGGAAATCCAGGAGTGGAGACACAATCCAAAGGTTTTCATAAAAAAATTTATTTACAGAGACATTACGTTTCAAAAGTTAATAGTATTAATTGGGAAAGTATTTCGTAGAAAATTCCACACCAAGCTTCACCCGAAGAATAATCACTCGTATAATTCTTAGAAATCGCACAAACCCCCTAAAATAGAAGAATCCATGAGAAAACTACAATCCACCGTGCTTTTCTCTAAAAAATTACAGAAAATTTGCTCGAGACAAATCCACCAAGAAGAGAAAATTCTCCAAGTCTTTAAAAAAAAAAAATTTGATAAAGCAAAGAACTTTCGCTCAGAAATTCTCCCCCAATCCAATTTCCTAGAAATGGCAAGCAGAAAAAGATCGTTCAAAGCAAACTGTTCAAAACCATTCCGTCATAGTTAAATAGTTGAATCTGTTGGCTCTATTAATTCGATCGCGTGACGCCCATTAGATAATATTACAGCGGCGCGTCGGCTACCGAAGAAGGATTTCTGTGGACCTGGAAGTCGCGGTTTTACGGCTCCGAATCCCGAGAACCGTGTGTCTGCCATATGACAATAACATCTGTGGCCCACGCCAAGGTATACCATGGCGTACCTATGTTTCGAACGCATACCATCTTGCAAGCCCGCCACCACACCGTACCAAATGAAATCGAAAGGTGTTCCCCGGTTTGCTAGTACCGCTGGACGCGCGGCAAGAAACGCAGCTGGCAAAATATTTGTACGCAAGGGGAAAAGTAGGGTGTCTCGTCCACCGATTCCCCGTTAATTAACGAACCTGATGATCTGTTTGCACGGACGATTCGCGCGGAACGGTGAGTTTTCTACACTGTTTGGCTACATTGCCGATTTCTTTGGAGAGACGTATATTGGGTCGCGTATACAATGTATATATACAATGAAACCTAAACAACGTGTGATAATTGTATAAATTGAGAATTTCTGTAAGATGAGAATTCGTTCTCTTCTCTTTGCTCTCTCTATAAACCGTTCGTTTGAAACTATAACTTTTATTAACTTGAATTATTTGTTCAATAATCTAATCTTGATAATTTGGTCCTCCATAACTCGATATTTATATTTCTGTCTACAACGTGCGTTTAGTGACATTTGCATGTAATCGAAATTCGATAGTACATATAGTGGGTGTCAAACCATGTCAGCTATGATTTACGATTAAAAATAAGAAACTGTTTTATGTAGAATCTAATAAGCAATAAAATATTTTGAAGCGAAAATAAAAAGTTATATATAAAAGAAACTGTATGTAAAAAAGATCTTATTTTTCATTTTTGTTTCAAGATAATTGAAAATTCTTACTTCATATTTAATTTAAAATATTTTTAAAACTGAAATGTTGTTTCATTAATTAAATTAGGAATTTCCGTATGTTTTTATTTGAAATATACACAGCTATTGCGTATGCATTATAGCAGGAAAAACTTCTGTTTCTCGTTTGATCGCAACACGTTTCTCATTGTTTGCTTGTTTCATTATTGAAATAATTAAACGACGTAGTTTTGTTGATTTCTGAACGGATAACGCACCGCTGAAAGCCGAAAATGTTTGACTGTCTCATTTTCTGCGAATGTTCGCTAATAATGCACAAATAATAAAAATTTGATCAGTTAATTATCAAGTTAAACGAACAAGGAATAATATTCAATATTCGAATCTGTATGTACCATAATTGTATTTCCAGTTTTTCTTTTAAAAATTTTGTAAAAACTTTATACAAAAAATATTTATACACGTATGTAAAATTACATTTATAATAATAATTTTAAAAATTTGGCTAAAAGATTACAACGAACAAAGTGAAATGAATAAACAAATAAACAAACGAAATGAATGGATTGAAACATTTAAGTCAACAATATTAACGAGAGAATACATAATTATATTAACATGCACGTAATTTGTACAAAAAATGAAAAATAAGTTATTTATCTTTTTAATTTAATTAAATAATTTTTTTCAAATGCATTGCTACATTCTTTACGATATTTATATTAATTGTTTATATTTTAAATAACAAGTTTAAATTTTTACCATTGCAAAATAATATATCTCCATGATTACCGACCGAGTAATTACGAATGCACTTCCAAACAGATGTCGCTTGCGTACAATCTACACGAATGATCGGTCGGTAAAAAAGGAAAGTATACAATGTAGTTAATCTCCAATTTGAGAATTAATTGTAAATTTAGTTAAATCATCAAAGGATCTAATTACAATAATATTCAAACCGTTTACCTCCTCTCACACGTTACTTTTCACGTATACTATTCAAAACATATACGACGACGATTAAACATCTAACGGAACATTTATATTTATACTATTAGGTAAACGAGCTTCTGCACTATTGCAATTAGTATTATCGATAACGATGCTTCACGAAGAATTGACAGACACAAAAAACTACAAAAGTCATTCATGATTAACGATTATAAACAAACTGTGTCGGCCGTTCTCGTTGATCCTCAAACGATACGATATCTATCGAAAAATTACTCCAAAAAGAACTCTGATAATTCGTCGACAATTGGACCGATTTTAACAGCGAAGAAAAAGAGAAAAGAAAAAAGAAACAAACGCGCTGGCTATCGTAAACATAGCCACGCAGCGCGTAGAATTCGTGCAGGCTGATAAAGATTCGAGCAGGCTGATCGACTGAATTTTAAAAGAACGCCGTGGCGATAACGATCGTTTTGCGCAGATTCAACCACTGCGGCAGTTAAATCGACAATCGATGACGAGCGAGCGGGCAGCATCGAAACGAAGAAAACGTTAAGTTCCCGAATGAAAACACGACGACACCGGGAGCACCGGGAGATGTCACGCAGCCCGATGACAAGATAAACGCGTGCCGCGGGAGGCGTTAATTCCGCACGATCGGCCGTTACATCGACGTGTGACCATTGACATAACCTCAAAAAGGGGGCAGGCAGCGTGCGATCGCGGGGGATTATTAGCGGAGAACCAGGGGAAGTCCGAGAGCTCGTCGAGAGAAGGTTCTCGTCGCGGACGACGCAATGCCACGGAAAATGTCAACGAAACTTGCGCAGGAGCTGGCAGCAAAGTCAAGAGCCCTCGCAGTTGACACATGTCAAGCGTGCAGTGCGACTCGGAAAAACGTCGGGACGGCCGACAGCGCACAGCTACGAGTACAGGCGTAAAAATCAAGGGACTCACCGCTGTGTCCGGTGTTACTCGACGACTGGCCCATTATTTCTCACGCCGTCGGCGATGCCAGGCACGGGACAAACCACTCGGTGATCGCGGCGGGCTCACGTGAAAAACCGGGCGCATGAGTGCGCGAAAAACCGACACATTTTTCGAAAAATACTATCACATCGTGTACCCGCAGTGTCGCTACGACAGAGACGGACGGCCGTTCCGGAGCGACGAGGTGATTGGCCCGCGACCGGCTGCGCATGCGCGACCCGCGCAATTTCGAATCTCCTTCTCCGCTATCTGTCCGCGTTCCTCCGTAGCCACGAGCCTGCCCTCCGATGATTTCCCAACGACACCGTCCGGCGAATAGCATTCTTGCTGATCGGAACATCCCGTTGAATCAACCAGGTAACGCAATACAAGGAATATTATATAAAGAATATCGGATTCGTGTCTTCTTTGTACATCACCGAGTTACGGGGAACGAGGATTACACGAGGGAAAAAATATGATAATTCTGCTTTCATCGATCTCGTTTTGTTTTCGTGTCACTTGGTGGATAAAATTAAGTGTTCTGATGTGAAATTGTTGAAAAATAGAGATTAATAGTAAACGATAAATTCGCAATATAAGTTTTATAAGAAACAATATTAATTCAGTTGTTATGTCAGCAGCTCAGTTTAATTAACAGTGACCTGTACTAATTAATGTTATTAATATCATTCTTAATCTTAATCTTAAAATAAAAAAAAGTAATTTTGATATTGAGTAGCATATTGAATTTTAAGATGGGACATGTGATCACACGTGAAAATCACATTTTAAATCTATTACAAATTCGTCTGATTAGCAATCTTCGTTGCTTCATTTATAATGACTTGCAAAGTATGCTACAGGAATAAAATTTCCCCTGAGACACATTATACAGTCACCTAATATCAGAATACATGAATTATGTCTCAGTCAATAATCTGGAGATACCTTGAGCAAGATATCCTTCTCTGTTATTCACATATCATACTTTCACTACCATCATAATTTCACAAAACACACAAATGTTCATCTCAAACTAATGTTATTTTCATGATTGAATATATCTATCTATTTATTGTATATAATCATATTATATACAATATATTAATTATAGTTATTCTATCATTCAATTTTACTACCTTTTACTTTTACTAATGTACAATTACGTTTATGATTAAACATAACTATTTATGTGTAATCGACATTAATCATAATTATCCTATTATTCAATCTATCATCTTTTACTTTCACCGATGTGACTTACTACTCTGAAATACTTCAAAATCTATTCACAAATAAATACTAGTTTTCATCGTGCGCGCGATCAAAATCACATTATCCACTCCTCTAACTGATATCACTTCCCACGGTACATATTATGCAAATACACATTTCTAATTACCCTCTACACACCTGAACGAAACTAGCGATCGTGCCGCGCCATCACCAACAGCATCCCCGTTTGCAAAATCCCACGCCACACGTGCGAACCAACACAGAACCATTCACGCGACCGTAGACACCCGCGAAGTCGCCAACTGCGCCCATAATTCGCGTGTGGCGAGAGCTGGTGTTTCATCGTTCACTCGGGATACCGAATCACGCAATTACAAACTGTTCCAGCTTTATGAAGTTCCCCGCCGCGTAGTAACGCTAGGTCAGTTCAGTCGACTCAAAGCTGCTCGACGAAAGAAAAACCAACGAGCACGCTGCTCAAAAAGCGTTGCCACACGCGTCTTCCCGACGAGAGAGACCGTCGTCGTGGAAGATCATCGATCGCGATACAAATCCCCGGGAGGAAGGTTGGAAATCATCGCCCTGGTAACCAACGACAAAACACAGGTTCGGTCGTTGGTAATAAACGCGATACGTGGGATTCGTGGAACACCGCCCGGGCGAATATCTTTCCTCTATATGGATTTTTCGGTCCGATTCGATTCACGTCTAGGAAGACGATGATCTCTCGCGGTCGACATCGGTTTTTTCCTTCTGTCTGACATGACAGTTCTGGAGGAACTCGAGTCGAGGCCTCGGGCATTCAGCAGCTGACGGCAACCACAGGCGATCGTACATCCGGGGAAAAAGCGCTCAACGCTTCGGCAAAGATGGATACCGGCGGCCTCTCCTGGATCGTCGCTTTCGCACTGATCGCGCTCTTCGTATCGGAAGGTCAGTCTCTCTCTTGTTTTTCTTTTTTTTTTTCTTTTATTAAGATTATAGGAGAACCATTCGCGGATATTTTGCATAATCCTAATTAAGCAGTTCAGTCGGTGAGTTTCTGTTTCTTGCTCTGTTTTGCTCTTTTAACTAGAACTAGAACCAGCGATCGAAACGACCAATTTGTAATTTTTATAGAGAAATTTCATGTGTATTTGCAAACGATATGACTTCAGAGATTTTTTTGTAAAATGTACAAGTAAAAGATTGTATTTTTTTCTTTTTTTTTTTATTAATTTGTAAACTCTTTCCTATTTCTTGCGCTCCAGATTTTCTAGATTTACAATTTTTAGACTTTAGTCATTGGTAGTTCTAATGTTAACACTTCAAGTACCAAAAATTTTAACGTGACAGATTAATAATATCAGTATGAAGTTTGTATGTAGCATATAAGTAGCATTGGAGTGCTGTTTTTAACACTAAAAGCACTAAAATCCTGCGAAATAGAAAGTTTCGCAAAAGCTAAAATTACACGAATTTTAGTAAATTAATTAAATTTACATTATTTTTAATATTTCATTCAATATGACTCAGTTATTAAAATTTGCGTGATTTTAATAATTGAATCGTCTTCATTTCTATCGAGCCAAAAATATAATTGTATATTTTAATTAGAATTGCTTTTATGTTTCTGATATATAGTATAAGAAAATCTTTAGAGGATTTTCAAAGTGTTTCTAGTGTATAGTATACGTGGAGTATATTTAAGTATTCATTACAAATCGATAATTCCAGTATCAACACCTTGCCTTTTAACATCGAATCATATTCATAACACAGATTACGGTCCTATTTCAACGAATATATGTTTGTATTTGTCGGTGTGTTGTGTAAAGACTTTAACTTTAATTCCTCAGTAACAGATTATACATGAGCCAGTTAGAAGCTACACTGATCAATTCTGTACATTGTATGACACTATTTTTTAAATTTACCATAGAATTTACCATTATTTATGTCATCTTTCCGCAATGAATGAATTAATGGATAATAACCTATTTGATTATTTTGTATACTTAGTTATTGCTTTGCCATTGTATTTCGTCAATACACTGTTACAAAAATTATTATAACAATTGTTAGTTTTCCAAATCTTCTATTGGAGTAAACAGCTACAAATAATATTTCTTCCTTGTAACTAAACGAAATTCTAGTTATAAAAAGTTAACTACGTTTTGATCGTGTTTCATACTATGCTGGAAACATTTATGTAAATTCTTCAAAAATTATGGAGTTCTGAAGAACTTAAAATTGCAAAGCTCTACAAAACGTACGTAACGTATAAAAATATGTAAAATATTAATCCTACGCTTATATAATGAAATTGAGAAATTAATGGAAAATGAAATTGATCAATTTAGCTTTTAAGAGGCTTATGTAATGATTCAGTATGACACAATGTTGCAGAAATGAACACATACAATGATAAATAAATGTAAGAATTAATTTCTGAACGAATTATAAGGCCAAAGGTCCAAAGATTCGTTTGTTGAAAAGCGTTTGACTTATATAGAATTGTCTGTTGGGTCTAGAATAATAGGATGTCTGATAAGAAAGTAAAAGGTTGCATAAAAAGATGGGCGAGATAAAGTCGGCCTTCTTCATTATGCCCCAAGATGAATAACCGGGTTCCAAAAATCAATGAAATAGCTTGTAAATGTTGAGAAGAACGTTGAATTTACTACGGCTCTGTTGCCTTCGAGAGGAATTCTACGAGAAAATGAATTAAATGAAAAGGTAGAAGATCTACACGACTGAATGTGAATTCAAGTAAAATATGTAAAACTTAAAGGAAGAAAAAAATTATCGATAAAACATTTCTCCTGAGATTCTAAAACAGTAAATAAATTTTAATCGACTGATATTTAACGAGTTAAATTTATTTACGAATTGTACTATAATATTTAAATTATTTTACATGTAACATTCATGAAAACAATTTTTAGAACTGTAATAACCATGTAAAAAGAAATAATTTTTAGGACGTAGAATGTTTCACAATTAGTCTTAATTCTTACATAGTCGATTAATTATATCCTTCATTCTCATACTGTTAATTAATCTCTCATGTCGATTAATACTCCTAATATTTGTCTTAATACTGTCTATTAATTTTTTTCTTTTCTCCCTCTTTTTTTCTGTTTACTTATCATTAGGTTGGGCCATCGATTGTTTCAAATGCGTGTCGATCGACGGCGACAATAAACCATGCGACGATCCGTTTCACAATAACGGAAGTCTGGCGTTCTTGGAGTCGCCTTGCCTAGGAGGTCGCAAAGGGCGCGATGGTCTTTTCCCCGCGACTGCGTGCATCAAAATAGCGGGCATATATGGTAAAACTTTCCTCTTTTTGTAATCACGAGTGGCCCTTAACCCGTTTCGCCGCTGTCTGTTCAACGAATACACTATGCCTCCGAGTACAGTACCGCTTGTTTACGGAGGTTTCGCCGGTAGAAAAGTTAATACATTGCTTGAAATAATCAGCAAATTCATTCTGAATAATTCCGTGAACGATTCCCTGCGTATATTTGCGGATTAGTGCGTTCTGAAACTGCCGAGGAAAGGCCGTACATTCGTGGAGACAATTTAAAAAAATATATTAGCTCGAGGTAATTAGCAGATTCGCTTCAAACGCTTCAATTGCAGAGAAAGTACTTTTCCAAATCCCAACTCTCTATCAAAACGGAATAACTTGCAACGAATTAGTCTTATTAAATGTTAAAAAAAGATATGATTCGAATTTATTTCAGAATAATTTTGAAACTATTTTGCTACTTTAGTAACTAATATGGTATAACAATAAATTGGCATTTAACTGTTTAGTGTTTACGTTGTGCCATTATATTTAAGATTATATTACAAACTAGTTTAACATTTAATAAGTTGGTTTGATCTATCTAGACTCGTTTTAATTTCAAGTTCGTCCTCTCCAAAAATGTTTTTACATCGTTTTGAAGAAAGTTACCATTTTTTTCAATAACTAAACCTATCACTTGAAAATTGAAACCTAACCCTTGAGAAGTTATAAGAGTTTAAAATATCTAAAATTTCTCATGTCGAGTGTACGAATCCATTATATTAAAAATATATTACATCAATTGTTTACTAGTTCCACTGCAAATTATTACAACGTTGCATTGAAACACTGACATCAGTATATCCTCATATTTAACTTCAAATTATAAAAAAAAAAAAAAAAAAAATAAAACAAAAAAAAAAAAAAAAAAAAAAAAAAAAAAAAAAAAAAAAAAAAAAAAAAAAATAAAACAGAAAACAGAAGAATGAAACGATTTAAATCTAAAATTTTATTTGCGCGAAGCTTCGAAATTTTTTCTAACGTCGCATCGAGGAAAAAAAAAAAACAGAAACAAGTCACACGGATCCGAACTGCGATGAAACTTTCACTCCCTCGCGTTTCACGTTCCCTCGACTTCTCGACGCGGAACAGATGTGAAAATGTTTGTAATTAACGTGTGTGATCAATTAGACGAGTCTGGGATCTCTTTGACGGTGAGGAGCTGCGCGCTGGACAGCGGAACCCTGACGACCGACTCCGAAATTATAAGAATGTCACACTGCGGAGGATTCTACTTCGACGACAAGTAAGCGCGGAGAAACATCATTTAGCTTTGTTTTTCTTTGTGCCCGGCGCTAATTGCAAGAGTTACCATGCTGTCTGAAATTGACCCTTATTATAATTGCCGCGAGCTCTGACACGATTGCAGATGAGGGGAAAAAAAAAGAAAAAAAGAAAAGAGAAAGAGAAGAAAAGAAAAACTAGGTAGCCACCATTGTGTGCGTTAATTTTAATCAATACTTCGCATCACGCAGTACTTTTAGCGAAACGAATTGTATGTATTTTCATATGTTACGACGATCTTTCGCTACTTTTTGAATTCGTTTTAAAATATTATACATAATATATACTCAACGTGTTGACACAATAATATTATTATTTAAAATCCGTAGAATTATGTAATAAAATTATGTAGAAAATATTAAATTCTGACAGTAGAACAATTCTAATTTTTCAGGTACGTTCGGGGGTGCGTGCAATCTTGCAACGACGCGGACGCCTGTAATGGATCCACGCAGCGAGCAGTACCGCTCGTGCTTTTAACTTTATCGATTTTCCTCGGACTAATTTGACGAGAATGGCCAGCGTAAAACTCGCGTTTAAATGAAAATCATAGGCAATTATTGTATATATCGAACGGAAACGATCATATCTATATTACAACGGACCACTTAAAATTTAAATCAGTAACTTGACCAATTTAGCCGTGGACCAAAAGACGTAAGCGAACGAGAAATAAATAACTCGTGGGCGACGTAACGAAAGCATTTTGGCAGTCGTTACGTCGAATTGTTGCATTTCATCCAGTGTCGATCGAAAGAAATTAATTATAATCAAAACGAATTTAAAGGTCCAACTAAGTATTTACGCTATTATATTACGAAGATAAAGTATACCGAATCACCATTTGATACTATTTGATAGCTTGTAGAATAGACAGAGTAACAACTGCCATTTACATAAACATAACCATTATTGTTTTATTGACATTCATGCATAGAGTACGTAATTTATGATCTAGTCATTGCTTGAGATTTATAGTCGAACGTATGTAAGTACTTATTCAAGAGATCATTGCAGACTGTGTAGAAAGCCCAATAAAAGAGATTTTAAGTTATAAATCCGCGTATAGTTTCTAATATAGTGACTCAAGAAATTGATCGGATCGATTTAATTTATTTTTATTTTTTATTGGACAAATCAGACGAAGGATTTTCAGAATCTTTAAAATCATTCGATAAAAGTAACGATTAAAAACTGATACTACTTTTGATACTAAACTGATACTGATACATTAAATGATATAAAGGTACGATGACGATTTCAAAGAAATATAATTTCATTTTTCTCTGCGAGATCAATTTTTTGAGCGACTGTATCTTTTACAGACATGAAACAGAAACAAAATTACTCACCATTTCTATGCCAGAAATACTTCACGATATTCACAAAGATTCTCAAAAGGAACTTCATTATATAAATAAAAAATTAAATTACAACTAGAATACAAATACACAATTCAAACTCTAAACAATATTAGAACCAACATAATGAGAAAACGAAACAGCAACTAAAAGATAATCAAATAAAGATGTCCCTACATTTTCGCTCCAAACTTCGCACAGTTGAAACAAAAATAAAAAGTCAAGTTCACAGGGAATTTATAATTATAAAGGTTCCCTCTAATTTCTGATTCTCTAACTTAAGAAAAAAAAGAACCAAGATCAGTAAATTTTCAATCCTTCTAACTTTCTTAATTTTTTAATATTTCTAATTCCTTCAATTTTTAATTTTTTTGCAAATTCTTTTAATTTCGTTTCGTTCTTATAATTCTTCTAATTTTCAATTCTTTAGCAGAAAAAAAGAAAAAAAGAAATACCAAGTTCGCAGTAAATTATAAAGGTTCGAGAAAGAGAGAGAGAGAGAGAGAGAGAGAGAGAGAGAGAGAAAAGAAGCGAAAAATAGAACACGCGATAATCTCTTTGCAAATTTATCCATGATCAAACCAAAAAAAAAAAAAATTGAACTATTCGCGAAGAGCATACGGAGCATGAAATTCGCTGAATGTGAACCGTAAAGCGGAAAATCGAAGCAATGTAAATGAGCACAGAATCCGGGAAACAATCTCAAAAATGAAAAATCGTATGTCGAATGCGTCGCAACAGTTTGTCGACTTCTTCTCGCAAGTCGCGTGCTGGACATGGGAGACCCTCGAAAAGTTATTGGACATCATTCTCGATTTCTTGGCGAGGATAATCGAGCTGATACTAGCGGTGATGAACCTGATTTTCCAGGTGATCTGTTTCCTAAGGGACCTCTGTATCGAGGCCATGCAAACATTTGCCAACGTGTTCCGAGGGATCGTTAACGTTGTTAGGAATATCAGCTGCGAGGAGGTCGAGGATTTCGCCTCCGCCTGCATCGTTATTCTACTTTGGATCGTCGCGTTTAAGCTCGTCAGGAATTTGTTCCAAGTAGGAATTTTACTTATTTATTCGTAAATTTCTTTTTAATTCGTCGCGTTCCACCGATGCTAAGTCGTTTGTTAACCCCTTGCCTTATTCAACTGAACTCGAAGAGTTCAAGTTTCAAGAAATGTCTAATCTTTTGGTTTCTAGTTTTGTAATATCACATAGATAAAGATACATTGACCAGTTTAACGCAAAAATTGTGATTATGCAAGAAATTATTACATCTTCAATTGTATTTTAATTATAAATACAATGTAAATATATTGGTACATGTTATTACATATTGGAAGTATGTTATTACACATTTTCTGCCACTGACTTGTGAAACTAAATAGAACACAATCAGACAAGGGGTTGAATTTTGAAGAAAATTCATATTAATTTTTTAGAAATTTTTTAACGATAGAAAAACACGACTGGGTAAAAAAAGGGAGTTTTTGTTCTATGTTTTGTAGCTAGAATGCACACAATGTTAATAATTTTCACGCGAGCTGGTCAAGTTTGATTTTTAGATGAAAGAAGAAATTCAACGGGACTTTAGAACGTTAAACATGATTGATGAAATACCGAGACACATTTGTTCTGGTATCTGGCGGAGGACTGTGGCACAAAAACCAGGTAATCATAACGTTCACGAATTTTAATCAATATTCCAGGTATTATGTGTACAATTGAAAATCCGTTATATAATCTCCGGAGTCTTAATATTATCTGGTTTTTGATCCAACAGTTCCATTGCCCATCATATAGCGCTTAAAGTAATTAAATAATTTAATAACATCTCTTATAATACGTATTTCAAAATGCTAATTACAATTTCATTAATTACATTTATATCTTTCATCTTTAAATTAATTATGTTATATGAATTGTCTATATTCATTACAAGACAATATTTATTATATTGTTCAATATACAATTCAATTTTTTGATTACAATGTAAAAAAACATTAGTTCCTTGATTACTTTGAGCGCTATATACTTGCAATTATATATAATTAATTTACACATACCTTTTTTAAGTCTTCGATATTTACTGATACTCCTATTTCTTCCTCATCCTCTCAACTATCATACTTCACTTACACCGAAATGTTCGTTCTAAAGTTTTTCCGAGTTCAAATACGAATCATTAAAACGTTCACACACTCACATACACACGCGTGATACGAATACCAATCAATGATCTCGAATAAATTAAAACTTTGAAAGACCCATCCGTTCAATACAACGGTGCCTCTTAGACTAATCTAAACTATTGTTGATTCACACATAGTTCCAATGTCAAAAATGTATTTCTCAGAACTCCCGAATAGCTGCGCTCCTTAATCCAGGATACGCGAGTTCGAACGTAAACAACAATAATAACGCAGAGAGACTGGAACTAGGAGTTTGTCCGGCGCAGAGGAGATCAGGGAAAAGGATAAATCGACGCAAACGATCTCGAACCAACCTTAAACAGGAATTCAATAATTAGAAAATAGAAGGTAAAGATTTAAAAAAGAAAGAAAAATTAAATATGTGTGTCAATTGTGATGTAAAGAGAACATCCATTCAAATTTAAAACAAGGTACAAATTTAAAATGATTATTTTTTTTACGTTAGGACAATAACTGAAAAGCATAGAAATTAATTACACGTTAATAAATGAAATTGCTAATATTCTTTTTGTCTCACAGATATAAAAAGGAGTTAATCACACATCTAATACGTGCAATATATAAAATCTGTACCAAGAAAATTGTAGAAAATAAAATATATTTCCTTATAAATATAATTTTTTATATTTATCGTTGTATCGTACATTTCTCATTCTCGTAAAAATTGGTATAGAATCCTGGCAGACACAGTGCCAGGATTAGCAACGTTCTCTATTTACAAAACTGATCTGTATAAAATAACAATGTGTAAACTTGTATATTGGACACAAAATTACACTTTGTATTCTATTATGTACACAATTAAATATTAATTTTTTAACAGTTATCAATTTGTAAAAGAGAGAGAGAGATGTATAAAAATTTTCCTCTGTAAAATGCATTTCTATTTTTCATTTCTCACTACTGAAGAAATATCTTCGATATCATAACCTATCTCTTCTTTTACACATTGATAAAGTCTTATAAGTCTTATCGTTTATTCGATTACCGCACAGACGTAATTTGATTATAAATAATATCGCCCAAATTCACTTTTGTAACGAGAGTAAATAATACTTTGCTTACGTCAATTTATCCTAATTCAGTTTAACTATATTTTTAATAGTACTAGGTTAATTTTCTCAGTCGTTTACAACCGTAATAATTAGTTTATGTTCGGGCCAGGAAAATGTCTTCGGCAATTGAATCTGTAATATATACATCGAAAATAAATTATTATAAAAAGTTATTGCGTTAAATCATTTTGCGGCACTGGTCCTATTAATTACCTGACTTGGTGAATTTAAAACTTGAAACTCTTGAGCCATCTTTTCAGTCAAATCTTCCGGAAGCAAAACTTGCAACCATGGTCCCTGAACTACATACGGTTTTTCCCTAGACACTAGAGTACCAGTGACTGAGGGGGCAACTATTGTTATTGCTGTATGAGACAATATTGATTTAAATGTGAAATGCCTTCCGTGCATGACACGGCCCCTGTAAAAACACATTTATGATTAAAATCCATTTAATAATAAATACATAATATTAATTCAGCAATGTGATAAAAATATTTACTTTATTGCTAATGGTAACAAAGATCCAGCTTCGAGATTGAATGTCAAATGAAGACCTGGTAAAACCCTGACAAAATTTTCGTTTGGTAAATTTGTATCTTGCTCACAAGGAGACAATCTTTCTGACTTTATAACTGGCTTTATATCTTCGTCTTCTTCATCCGATTCATTTCTTGTCTCTCTATATTTTTCTGTACTTTTGTCACTGTTTACTTGAACCCACCTATATAAAATATCAGTTAGCATGTACGATATACATTTTACATAATAGTTTAATCTTTGATAGACAAATAAAAAACACTTGCCAACACTTTGCAGATACACCACTTAAATTAGAACCCTCCTTTTCTATACCAGTCTCTATTTTCTCTGCTATGGAAGGATCATCTTCCATAACAGAGTAAATCCTTCTCATATCTGTTACCAACCATGGCCCACAACCACGACTAGACTTTAGTAAATTTACAAGACCTAAACCATTCCAGTGCTGTGCAGCTTGTAGCTCTTCAGAAGTAACTCCTACAATTTGAACAAATGAAACCTGTAACATTGTACACATGAACCATTAAGAATATTTTATTCCGAATTCCCTCACGTATTTGGAAAACAAGTTAAACCAATCATTCTATCTGAAATTTCAAATAATAAACTTACATCACCGTGTGGCGTAGATATGGTTGCTGGTAGCAGTGGATCCCTGGCCATTAAAATTTGCGTGATACGACCATTGCCATTATCCAAAGGTGCATGCCATGAAACATGGTCGCCAGGTAGTAACATGTTACCAGAATTGAAAACGTATTTTGCCAATTGTTGCATGACATTTGCTGGCCATGTGGGAGGTGTCATCTCGTTCCTTTCTCTGACTAATCTAAATGTTAGCTCAAATCCAAAACCACTTGGACGACCAGGACCACTTTTTGGATGTATTCGTCCATCCCCGTGCAGATCCGATAAGCCCAAGCTTTAATCAGAAAATATTTTTCACTTCGTCAAACAGCATCATTGTTTTAGGAGAGAAGAGAAGACAGATAAAGTAAAATTCGAACAGAACAATGACAATAAAATTTTCAAGGACTACAGTGATAGAACCAAAATAACTCTAGACTTAATCTAAAAAAGTACACTAGATTTAGTGAATGGTGGAACATATTTAGATAAGCCAGACGAAAAAGAGGGAAGAATCCGCGGATCTATTTCCGACGCGACGAGCTTCAAACGACTTTATCTTCCTGTACCCTATACTTTCTATATATAGAAAAAGAGGGAACTACTGAAACAGCTGCTGCTAAAGACTAAAGAAGAAGGAAGGATCACCCATTGAAAATAAGAAAAAGAAAGAAGAAAAAAAAAATAGATGGCACCCCTTTTGCGGTAGACCATTCGTCATTCGGCGCCTAGTTTTTAATGAGGAATTCGTGAAACAAGCATTCATTTATCTTTCGACAACACGAGTCATAAAATTCACGTTTCGATAACATTAAAATTAACATAAAATTTAAATATCTCGTAAAACTTCCACAAAGTAGTACAAAAATGTAGCAGGAGTTATTCTTTAAGTTTGCGCGATCTCAGAGAAAAAACTGTAATGATTTCGAAATATTTGATACTTTAGCTTTTAAAGTATCAAAATAAAACGGTAAATGAAATTCTCGAATGACAGAAATGGGTTGCACATACACGTGTCATCGAGGATATGTCGAGAAATTACATGCGCCTATATCAAACAGAGGCACACTCCTACCACTCAACAGTGTGACACTGACAAATACCCGACTTCCCGTTTTTTTTTTTCTAACATTTTAATTCTTCCTTCTTTACGAATACCAGGCCAATGAGAAAAAAATATGACTTGCCTTTTTTTGAATGAATGAACGCGCCGCAGCGTGTCACTTTGACGATCGCGTGCACACCGGAAGGAAATCGTCGATAGATCAACAAAAATTTATATTTTGAATCCATTTGCATTACGAAGCGCAACATCGAGTAAATTATTATATGGCTCATCATTAGCTCAGAAACCAATTAGTGTAAGTGACTTCTTACTAAAAACTGCTTGAAAATATTTTTTTTATCAAAAGTACCAATCGATGGAGCAGCTTTAGTTATTATTGAACTAATTTAAAAAATATTCCCCATTAAAATAATATATATAGTAATGTTATTTTAATAGTTTTAATTGTTATATTCCGATAATTACGTTGCGATAGCATTATTTAATAATGATTAACTAGGCCAAGGGTATTTTCACAAAGTGTTAATCAAAAACAACTTGCACTGACTAGATTACGAGCTCTCCATATTATGTACTCTGTTACAATATTATGTATTCTGATATTTTATTGTAATTAGATAATATAAACAGGGACAAACAAATATTATAAATCGAGACTTGATAAATTACAATACATGTAGACATGTCCAATCTAATGGATTAAGTACACGTAATGAATATAAAATAAAGATTATATAAGAAATAATAATGTACAATTTATTTTTTATACTATTAAATATGGTGACATTTTATCATTCGCATTCAAATTTATTTGCATTACTATACGTTTATTGAAAAATATATGTATTTCGAATGAGCAGATAAGAATGTTTCGAAATAACACGTAAAATGGTGAAACTCACCTAATATAATGCCAATGTGGTGGTATGCCTAATTCCGGGCAACCAGAATTTTCGTACATGCTTATGTAGTCGAGAGGATCTGGACCGCCCAACCTAGGCAAAGGTGCACAGAAAATCTTTGTTATTTGGTTTTACATCCGGTTAAATGTACGTACAGCTAAGGGGGGCTAAATATAAGTCGTCCTCCCTTCTTGTACAAGAGTTCCATACTCGATAGAAACCACCTTTCTGATACCAGGGCTTTCATGATTTTATATTGATCAAAAAACACAAAATACTAAATAAACTACATCAGATGTGTTATTAAAATATTCGTATTTATTATTATTATTATATGTATTATTATAATAATTGTATTTAATAAATGACAATTTTCACAATTAAATTTAAATAAATAAGAAACAGAGATTATTTTATTACGCTTATCTTGTTTATTATAAATATTAAGTATTTATTATCTTTCTATTCTGGAATTATCAATTATTTATCACCGTACGAATTTTATGAGGAAACATCGCTGTAGTGGAACATTTAAACATTAAAAATTAATATAAAACTGGAGCAACAATTTTTAATAAACTATAATGTAAATTATGTAATACAATTTATATTATAAATCGTATTACACTGCGAATCATTTCCAGTATATTTTTTGATATACGATAACGTAAAGAAGCAATTTAAAATTGCAACAAGTGCAAACAAGTGCATACAGCACTGTAACGCATTTCTCATCGCATTCTGACATAAACACCGAGCATGAAATTTAAACCTTTCACACTTTACCGCTGAGAGACCATTTTTCATTAACAGACCAAGTTCAACGATTCTTACCAGTATTTTACAACAGCAGTGACAGTGAGAGGATTGCTTTGATCCGGATAGATCTCTTTACAAAGATTGTGCAAAGCATCGAGGCCTAGAGCTCGTGCTGTCGGTGCCTGGATCCGTTGTCCCGGTGGGAAACTTCGACAAAACTCTTCTCTTTCACGCATATTTCCGTACATATACGCAGATTGCCAATTACGAAGCACACTGCTTCGAAAATGTTACGAATATGCGATGCAAACAAAATCACTTTGTTTACCGTGGCTCAACCACTGTCTGCACCTTCCACCGAGCACGAATCATACGTCTCTGTTTCTTGACAAAACTAAATTCTTTCAGAGCGGACGACCGAATGATTCCAAAATCACTGCGCGTCTTTAAAAGTCACTATAGGCGACAGGGGAAAGCACATTGCCATTGGTGGGTGCAATCCGCAGCGCATTTCCATTAGTCCATTCCGATCGGGATGGAACATCCTAGATCCAATAGAGTGATTTTCGCACACAACTACATCTCTTGTTTAATGCGACTGGCACGGTTGAAAATATATAATTTGTTGGTGTGTTCTGGTAAACTTTGAATAACAGAAGTGCATTTAAACATGTCAGACTCGGCAAGATGAGGTTACAATACTCTGTTCTGCCTTTGATTTACCTCTCGTGGCATTTACAAATATGTTCAGGGATTATGTTAATAAACAATACTACAGACATTCAACAAGAGTACAGACCTGAAGGTCCACTGGTAATGTGCAAATTTCTGTGAGTATTCGCACGTCCATTCGCCGACAGTTGTTTATCTTTAGTAAAGTATTGATTGTTGCTTCTTTCTTTCTTTTTTGTGTTAATAAATCATTTATCTGTATGGCACGAATATACGTTTTGCAGGCCAAAAGAATTTATAGAGTGTGAAGAACCAATTGATCACAAAGGTAATAAAACTGCCAAAGAGGAAACTGGATTTGGTTGTGTAAAGGTATTCCATTGTAATGCATATAAATATTGTGTATATAATGTCGGTCACTTAAATATTTTCTTTTTAAAGTTTGGAGGTTCCAAATACGAGGATGTTGAAAAAACTAAAGTGTCGTGTACTGTATTACCATTTATCGAGTGTTATGGGCCCAGGACATTTACTCGTGAAGGAGTTCCTTGTATAAAATACAGTGACCATTATTTTGCTACCACTTTACTATATAGCATTCTATTAGGCTTTTTGGGTATGGACCGGTTTTGTTTAGGACAAACTGGCACTGCTGTTGGCAAGTTGTTAACATTAGGAGGAGTGGGAGTATGGTGGATTTTTGACGTAATTCTGCTAGTCACAGGTTCTTTACAACCTGAAGATGGCAGCAATTGGAATCCATATGTATAATAAACCAAGCATAAAAACCAATTCCCAAAATGTAAAATAAGATTCAATGTTTTGTATGATATCCTTTTTTAAATAAATATTTAATAATTTCGAATTTACAAGATTACCCAGATACTTTTTGTAAAAATAGATTTCTATTTACTTGTACATATATATCTTAATGCGTAAATAAATATTTCTGTTAGAGAATGTTATTTTTTAAATGTTACTGTTCTTTATTTTTCTTCTCCTCTTTTTTTATATTGGAATCATTCTTTTGAGAGAAATGAACGATTCGATAATCGATATTCGATAAAATATACAGGAATACATGTTTTAACATTCATCTATTATAATTCATAATCATCTGGGTGATACAATTCACTAAGTAATCTATAAATGTATGATGGTGCATTTCCACCCCTAAAATAAAAATATATTGTTACATGATTAATTTAGTAGATTAAGCAATATAAAAGATTTAATATCATTGAAAAACCTTACGTGTTTGAAATAAATAATGTAACTAATTCTGGAGGTACATAATCAAAAACTGGATTATATACATGAATTCTTTCCAACAACGATACATTTGCACCATCGATTACACCTTGCAATGGTGAGACATGATTATTAAAACCATCCTGTTCATGGGAATAAAGATACAACGGAGACAACTTGTACAATGGTAATAAGACCATTACTGGGACAGAATAATGTTTCGCAGCTTGAGCAACTGTATGTGAACCTGAAATAGCTCTCAATCCTCCATTTGCCATGACAGAGTGTGTACCAATTATTACTTTATTCACTCGTGACATCATTGCAAAAATTGCCACATCTGATATTAAAGTAGTTTTGATTTTAGCCTTTGACAGATTTACTGCCATGTCATGACCCTATTAATAGTCCAAACATTTTTTGTTAAATTGATACAAAATGTTTACTACAATATATACATACAGTTAATGATGGTCCTCCTTCAGCTACTATAACTTCAAAAGCTCTTGTCTCAGCAGCTTTCTTGAAAAACTCTTCTACTAATGTAGATTTGCCAATTGTCATGATAATTTCATTCGAATGGATGTGTTCAGATGCTTGCTGTGTAATATTTTCTGCACTATGAAAAAAGTATACATCTTATAACATCTTATAACGTAGAATACTTTGTACTTTCATTGCTCGTTCAAACTAACCAAGTTTCTAACTCAACTTCAAATTCATTAATGTGTTCAATGATAACTGATTTGAGAGAAGGTATGGAAATGTTAAAATCAACTTTCTGATCACCTTCAGCAGTGAGAATTTTATGTAAAGATTCTTGTATGTCCGTTTCTTCAGTATTGTTCTTTAACTCAATATATTCTTCTCTGATTATTTGTAATGTTCTACGAACCATATTTCCAATACAAAATTCAAGGGGAATAGCTTCTACTAAATATTTTCCATTTCGTCTAATTATATTTATCAAATTCCTTTCGAAGTAAAATACACATATAATTAATTTGCTCCTGATATATTCTTATCTTTTGTAAAATCATATATATCTAAGAAGACACACAAATAAAGTACTATAATATTTAATTGTTAGCAATTATACAAGTATAATATAATTTTTTAACAATACAAGCTAAGAGGTTAGTCAAAATTGAATATTATTTCCAATAAGAATACTGACTAATTAGCAATTAATTGTTAATTATGTTAAAAATTGGCATTTATTTAGTGTTTCTTAGATTTATAGTTGTTTGAAATAAAAAAGGAACATAATCCCTACTTGGCGGTGGTCCATTCTTCGTTACTTATGATATTTTTTAGAACCAATATAGTAGCCACTACGGTATTGTATGTACGCTTAACGCCACTAAAATATAAAATATCATGAAATTTCATTTCATTTGAGGTTAAATCGCTTAAATTCATTTATGTACTCACCCGTAATGAATATCATTTATTAAGTCTAACACTCCTTGGTTAATATCGTTCTCTTTCGTATTAACCATTTTGACCACAAGTTATTAGAGATTTTCTCTCTCTTAGATGTTGCCTCTTTTTAGAAAAATAATATAAAAGTTCGAAACATTTCTTCTGTCAATATCTGACCTGTACGACAACAAAATACCAGCTGTTGAATAATACAATGATCAATCCCAGCATTGACTAACTAGAATATATTGGACCACAGATAAAGTACATGAATAGACGAAGCATCTTAAGGGATTTTGTAGCCCGTGACCTGAAATACCGACATAGTAAAAAATCGTCTGTGACAATGTCCTTTCATATACCTCGTGGTGGTAAAGTTTTTATAGTTTTTATATTTATTGAAGGTAATTGGAGAATTATAAATGAAACGATCGAAGTTGATCAAGTAAATGCACCGGAGATATGTTCGTTGATGAAAGAATTAAATGATCTTTGTGATTTTAATTCCTATTGGCATTAGCGCTGCAATACAAAACCTGCCTTAATCGATATGGTAGGATGTGACATGAAAATGGTAAGGAGGAGAATACATTGAATGTCATATCTATTCTATATCTTGTCTATGGTAAGAATTTGGTAATTTGACCTAGTTAGTTAATTATTTGATATTATGTGATTAATTATTGAGTAATTATAAGCAGAGAAAGATAGAATACATCTGAAGAATTAAGGTAAGTTTATACGCGATATTGATTTGTGTGGAATCGAAATATGAAATTATTAACGCATGAAACAATATAGACTCTTTTTTTATTATAAATCGTTTGAAATTATATGAGTGCGACTGGATTTTACAAATCAATTCATTTGTCTACATTTATTTAAATTTTTAAATTTTATATTATATATAAATTTTTGCGCAGTCGCGCTGTGGCCCGTGAAATATGTAGTTCAAAAATACTCGATTAGTAAAGGCGCGGTGGCGGTCGGAACCATTTGAACATAACCAATCAGTATTATTATTAGTTTGAAACTCGTGTGAATACTTGTTTTTATCATAATTTGATTAGTAAATCATTGTTATTTACGCTGTCGAGAGTAGATGATAAAACTATTACACAGTATAAAATTAGCAATGGGTTAAGTATCAAGGAAATGTCTGATTTTAATCTCAGTCTGAAATTTAATGTACATATGTACAATAAAATTGAATGATCAAAAGTCGTTATATTATATATGATTGTTGACAGATGTTTGATTGAAGGAAGATCGAAGAGTTAAAATATTTCTTAACATCTTCTGCCTTTAGATTTAATTTAATCTTTTCCATTTCTAAGTATAGAAAAGTCGAAGAATAAAGAAATATGCAAATTATTGCGAAACGATCTCTTGAAATAGTCTTTAGTTCACTGTGGTTTCACGAACAACTTTTGCTTCCAAACCTTGGGAATAAACTGCATCACATAATTTGTGCGTAATATCTACACTGGTAGTGAGAGTGTCATTATGTTTGCCCGACTGCGACGAACTGCCATTGTACTTGTTAAAAATCACCTTGACATTATGTAATAACCGTGAATTTTGATAATATTTTAAATGTCGATAATTTTATTGATTAATAATGTTAATAATTTTTTTACTCTACAGTGATATTCACGGAAGCTTAAGGATGCAAGCCTTGTCCTTTTTGATATCTATTGCATGGGTCGGTCGTGGAAACCTCGAAGATTTCTATCTCCATTCAAATGTTTAAATATCACTTTCACTGTTCCATATAGTCACATGAGTATCATACAATTTATCTATATTGAATAAAATAGAGCAACGATTAGCATTTGTATGATTTCCGGTTTTAAACAGAGTGTGTAAATTACACGTATAATTTGTTTATATCTGTCTGTATCCTTTCAATCTGTATTTGATACTTTTTAAGAGAAGCAAAAATATGAAAACAATTGTTGTTTAAAATTGTCAGACAGTAATTTACTAGAAGGTTGCGAATGTAAATGTAAAAATATTCTATGCGTGTATCTTTATAAAAATTTAATCGTTTTATTGTTTTATTTATTAAAAATTTATGATTAAGTTATAAAACATATTACAATAGTTTCTTCAATTCTGTTAACATCAAACTAATGTCTCTTATCTTCTAAAAAAATTAATTATTATGTCAAAAAAGTTGCTCTCTTTTTCATTCTTAGGATTCAACGCTCGGAAGAATATCAGCGGAAGTATAAACTTACGTACACACTTCCGTTATTGGTTGTAAATAACGGGTGAAAGTGCACACGTTTAATTATTATAGAGCAAAAAGCAATTCGGCGGAGGAATTAGTGAAGGAGGATAATCAATAAAGCATTGTTACGTCTTGATGGTACCGTAATGGAAGTTATTTAGTTACAGAAAGGAAGTTGCAGTTTTCGATGTTGAAGTGTTATAAAAAAGCGGGAAACCTAGACGAAGAAACTATATAACAAAGTGAAAAAAATTATAATAATTATATCTGAAAGGCAAGGAAATAGACTATATCAATATTATACCATATTGACTATAATATACCATATTATATATTAATAATCGTCTGATAACAGATTGTAATAGCAATACTTAAAAAATACCGTAATAATATTCTGAAAGAGGAAATACATTTATATTAAATGCATTTTTTGATTGCTTTCAATGAATAATTTTTACAACGTTTCTCATACTTTTTAAACATACATGTGAATTGTATTTACTTTTTTTATCATTTTTCTAACTTGTAATTTATGCAAATTTCATGGTGCATTGAGATGTTATTACAATTACACCCCACGGGCACAAGGACAGAAAATTATCTGGACAATTACCCTGTAAAACAAAGGAAAATCAGGCAGGCGCTGGCGAACTTAAATGTTTGAGAATGCAAAAAGCAGCAACGCTATCACGACAGGTAAAATTGTATTGTTTAACGCAAATTATGTCATACTATTCTCTTGCAAATTAGCTACATCCAGTCGAAAACCTTTCACCTACATTTCACATCATTTAATCTTACGAAATCTAAACTGCTATGAACTCCCTTTTTTGTCGTTTCACGCGAAGATTTAATTTATGGAACATTTATGACAATCGAAATTTGATTTGATGAAAATATAAGTAATTAATTTATTTTTCACGTAAAAGTTTCAAATTATAACTTGGTACCAACAACGGGACATTAATAACGTTATTAAGACATTAGATAGTATTATTAAAATTTAATATCCTGTGAGCAATTTTTGAATTATTAGTATCACCAAAATACATAATATGAAGCTTGGAAGACAATTATTACAGAGTTGATTACAATATTTCAATATTGCTTTACGTAATTCTAACGACAAAATTGCAACGTATAATCAAGTACAGTAGTTAAGACAAGCTATTATACTTTCTTATCAAATTAGTATGAACCTTAAACAATACAGTGTTATTCTAATAATTGTATAAAGGGGTAACAAGGTTCCTCCTACAGAGAAGAATCGAAACCACGAGAATATTTTCATTAAAATTCACTTCCTCTCCCCTTCGTACAGGTGAAACGCTTTTTAATGAGATTCATTCACGGGTATAAAGGAAAGTGTCTTTTCCCATCCGCGATATGTCCGTCCACACAATACTTCTTTTTTTCACGAGCTGTCTCGCTCTTCTAAGATGTCTCGTATCTGATAAACCGTACGAACATTGCGTTCCCTTACGTAATACGGCTCTCTTGATCTTTGCATTGCTGTTTTTCGATCAAGGAATTTCACCAGCGAATCACGATATACCTGTCCTCTTTTCCTTTCATCGTGAGGAAATATCTTTCAAACAGTGTTACTAATCTATAAAACACGTTGATTGACAAAAATGTGTCCTGCTATTTCAGGAGACATACCACAGGTTTCCGGTTACAATTTCATAGTTGTAACTCGATAATATTTGACGATGAAAATTATTCATCAAATGAATAATACACGTTGAATTTATTTTCGTCTGATTAAACTATGTTTTTCAAAAGAGAAAGTTATTTGTAGTCACATTAATCACTTATCTGGAGTACTGTATTGCGAAGAAAAGTTGCAATTACAATTTGGAGCGTTATAATAGTTATTTCTGATTTGTTCTATGTAATTTCATACAAATTTGAATTTTTATTCTTCGGATTGATAATTAATATATTTTGCATTATTCGACAATGACAATCATTTTTAGTGATATTCTAAAAATAATTTTAAGTGAAGAAATTTGATGGTATTTCATCGATTGAATTGAGAATAAATAAACATTTGGATGTTCTGCATGAAGCGCGGTGCGAATGCATAAAGTAATGATTATACATTATACACTATTGCCCATAAGTTTAGAATCACATGTCTTGTACAATAATTCTAACAGCTAATATTACTAGCTTATTATCATAGTTAAATCTCATTTAAATTTTCAAAAATCAATGCTTTTTAATTTCGTCTAAGATTCTTTTATATCTGTTTTCAATTTTTTACTTTCTTGAAATTCCCGATACTTTCTTAATATCAAAAAAATTTGAAACTAAAGAAAATAGCTTATTCTTGAAAATTATATTTTAACAGAATGAAAATTTCTTTTTTTAAAATTAAGGAATTAAAAGTTGGGACATATTAACTTTCTAAAATTTGTATTGTGTGTTAAGTAAATTATAGATTTATGTTAAAAAGTTCTGGATGAAATAAAACAGATGATAGCACCATATTTACGAACGTTAGTGTACTATGGCCGCGTGAAGGAAGAAAGTTCGTTCCGAGCATTATACGAGGAAGAGCATTGTAATAGTCTGACCCATGTTCCTTAAAAGGTAAGAAATGGATCGCAAATGGATGACGCAAGGATTAATTAAAGTCTTAATTGTAAGTTTTACCAAAAAATTACAAAGGAAGAATATAAAATGTTTTCGAATGAAAATTTTACAGTGCATGCCTTCTCACTGTTTTGTTTATACAAAACTTTAAATTTAGATATTATTGATATAAATATACAATTAACTGCTGAATATCGAATGTTGCAAATTGTAAAAAGAATATTATCTTTATTTTACAATAATAATATAGATAATAATAATTAATAATAATATCTTTATTTTTGCAGTAAAAGACTGTCTTTGGTGAATTATTAAATGAAACTTTCTTATGTAATCTTCAGTGAAACGATAATCAAATTTGGCAGATGCTTACAGGAAGACATTGAAACTTTCGCTTAATTCTCGCATCTTACGTCACGCAGGTGATACATCCAATCTGTAATATTGTAACAATCTTTAGTTGTTGGAAAAGTATATTCTTCGTTTATTTTATTTATAATTTTTATTATTTTTTTTTTAAATTTTATCGTTCAATTGCTAGTAATATTTCTTTGTTAACGTCTTAAAAACATTTTATAATAATACAGAAATACATGGATCATTCATTAATTTTATTTGCACCAACGAATGATATGTAATATTTTCCAAACTAGATTAGTGAATTTCCTTTTTACAACAATCTTGTAATAATCTTACAGGAAATTCAGATTGAAGCTCAGTTTCGATGGTGAGCGGAGAAAGGACTAATAGTGATAGCGTTTTCGTTGCCTCGGGCAATTTGAAAAATATTTCACCGACTAACTTATATAGTACCAAGAACCAAACGGAAAAGAAATATCTGATTCCATTTGATTGATATATAAATTTGACGCAATTATGATTAATCATTTATCATTTCAGATTCTATTATAAAATAGATATTTTGAATTTATATAATTTTACTAGAGAGATTTCTTTGTGAAATGTAAGTAAATTATACTTGTTTTGTATCATTTATTTTATCGATATGTTTGAGGAACTGTCTGAAAAGGTTTCTCAATTATTATATCTGTTATAAAACTTTCATCTGTCATGTTTCCTAATTTTTAACAGTATAATTCTTCATCTTATTCTAAAGATTGTAAGAGATTCCAATTTTTTTTTTCTGACATACACCAATAATTCTTCTCTTCTCAATTCCTTGTTTTAAAACTGAAGAAATTCATTGCAGTACGCCGGTTCATTTCATTCATAATACTTCCGTGAGCATGCTAAAAACGACAGCTAAAAGCGATTTATTATCGGAAGTAAATGCCGAAATTGTTTGTAAAACGCTACGATGCGCTTTTGCGCGGTCTCCGGAACGTTCGAGCGAAACTAGAATAACTTGATGCTCGTTCGAGCGTTTCTGTTCGTTTCAATGGTGTTAAGTAATCTCCCGACGTACATCAATTCCCCTCCTTTTTCCTTTCAATTCAAAAACCGTTCATGTAATCTTCTCTACAAGTATTTCTTTTGATAAAGCATGTTGTCTGATTTGACTGATTGAATCAGCTTGTTATCCTATTAAATCTACGTGTACTTTCTGTATAACACTTTCTTTTCATTTTTTTCATTTCTTATATTTCTTACATTGTTAGCTTACCCATTGAAATTAGCAAACTGTTTATTAATCTGAGAAAGAATTAGAATTGAATGCCGTTTTACTTTAATCATACATTTTATGCTTTTGTATTTGTATCAATCTTTATGCCTCGTAGTTGAATTATATTTTAATTATAAATTCATAAAATTTTAATTTTAGAGATTACACTGTACGAAATACCCGACATGTAAATAACAAAATTAACTGTTATATTGTAAAAGAATAGTTTACATATTTTTCTGATTATTAATCGGGATTAGAATCTAGCTTCCTCCTTCCGATTCAATCGATAAGATTACATGATTACCTTTTTCTTATTATTATTGTCATTACCAATTCTATATCACATATATTCATAGAAAGTTTCTGAATTAATTACGAAACGTATTATTTTATTTAATATAACTGGACGTCTTTTCTCTTCTTTTCCATCAAAGATGTGTACTTCAATTCGCATCCAATACTAACACAATCAACATTCTAATACAGATTTCTATCGATTGTTGGCAAATGTCCTAATAAAATGTAAAACGAATGCTGGTTCCAGTCAAAGAAGGCGGCAAATAGAAGAGAGAAGTGGGTTTGAAACCAACACGTTCACCGTCCTACCTGTTCGTCTCCCACCTGGGTTCTATGCCTCTGAGGAACTCTTCCCCGGCTGGAGAAGTAAAACTCTCAGACGTTTTCCGATCTCCAACAGTCCCAAACTCGTCCTCGTCAACGTGTGAACTTGTCAGCGAAGCAGGCCTGGCGCGTCTTCGCCATTGTCCTCTTGTTTTCATTTCTCCGCTAACACGAGAAAAGGTCAGCCATTCTTTCTTCCGATAAAACGACTTGAGAACCTTATTTTCCCCTTTGAATGACGCTTTCGCTTTGATTAACGAGACTCATCAATTCAAATTAATTCGTTTCCTTTCGTACAACTTGCAAGTTGATTGATCGACTCGATATTTTGTGAGAAAAGAGAGATAGATATTTGTTTGAGGGAAGTTTATAGAAGGAGTATACAAGTTAGCGTAATTATTTGGTTTAGTCGAGTAAATTCGAAAGTCGACGAATTTTTCGGAAGAGAGAAGAAATAGACCGTTTAGTGGGGTGTCGATGTTCCGGTGGTGAAGTTCGTAGAAAAAGGCAATCCGTGTGTGAACATTGCTCGATAATCGAAGAGGAAGGAGGATCGTTGACGCGATGAGACGGAGTAACGTTCTGTGCTTTCTGTGGATCACCACGATCCTGAGGATACAGGGTTTCGTTGCTGCTGAAGCTGACCCGGCGATCCTCTCAGGGACTGATTTAACTCATTTTCAACAGGTAAGGAAAATACTATTTTTATTTTTTTTCTTATATAGATTCTCTATATAGATTTATATAATTTCTTCTTTCTTTGTTGGTTAAAATTGTTAAAAAAGGTTGTTTTTCTTGTAATCTTTCTTAAGAAATTTCGTATTACTTTGGTATAAAATATTGTTGCAAAATTAGAGAATTTGGAGACTTAAGAAGAATTTAAATTAGAAACTATAAGAGAGGCATAAGTTTCATAAACTTCTTTCAATATACAGATAGATAAAGATTGTTCAGATTTCTATCAACAAATTTTGACAAGACAAATATCTGAAACCTAGAATCAGACTGTAGAGTATTGGAAGAATATTTTAATAACAAAAATAAATTGGATAAGTGGAAGATATAGTGCTGGACAAGTGTATATTGGACCATGAATAATGAAGATCAATTAATAGAAATTCCAGATAAAATTTGTTTCAAGTGAAGAAAACGATAGAAGTTTTCTATCGATTTAATGTGGCAGAATTCCAATTTATATGGTAGAATTCCAATTTATATGAACCTGTAGAGAATCAAGCAATCCACCTAGAGTTTATTAATCTTCTCTACTATCTATATCATAAAATAAGAATTTGCGCATGGAATAACTTATTTGCAATAACTTATTTAAATGAATAAATGTATCTTTTAATTTAAAAGTGTGCAACAATGTTTTATCGATGACTTTTGATGTTGTTTCATAGAAAGTAAACATCTTGAAGCATTCAGCTGTAAAAAGATCGCGTGTAGTCGATCAAGGTTTTCCTCTATATCGCCGAGATCGATGTTTCACCATCTTGCAAAGCTTCTATCAACTAAATACAACACTGAATACAAGACAATTATCTATACTTTCGAGGGCCGGGATTTTTAAATGGTAGTATCTCGATTAAGAAATCGTAGAGTTCGTCTTGAAAAGAAATGACTCTCATTTCATTTGAATATCATTCTAGTAGAAATTATCGTTCTCACTATCGCTCTCTCACAGTATGCAAATTACATTTTCTCAGAATGTTTTCCACCATCTAATATGGTTAATATCGTCGTTGAGATGTAAAACGAGAAAATTAAAAAATTATCTTTATATTGCTTTAAAATATTCCTCCATTTTAGAAATTGCCAAACTATTAGTAAGGATAAATTTTAAATTTGATTTTTATTGGATACTTGGACCATCATAAAATAAAATATTCAATTTCTAAGTAGATTTATTGTATGATGTAATAAGAAATATCCATTTTATTGCCGATACAAACATGCATAATTTACAAATAATTTTTATTAAAAAAATTCATCATTTACTTCTGCTCATCAACTCCAAAGACGTATGTATAGAATAGTGTACGAAAATAATATTCTCGTTGAAATATTTAGATGAAAAGAATGTCTATCTAAATTCTATTTCTGTAAACGTGATCGTAAAGGTATGAATTTTCAAGATCTACAGTCTAACAACAAATGGCTCGGTGACCACACATTTGGTTACTAAGACTTTTACAAAAGGCGTTTACGAAGTCGATCGTTTCACAATCTGACAAGTATCGAGGATCCTTTAGCAAAGAAATTGCCACGTAGCGTGTTCCGGCGTATGCAATTAAATCTGTTTCCAGATCTCTCCGGCAGCCACGAACAAAGTATACTTATCTACGTACGCACGCGTACGAACAGTGTGAAACGAAGCCATTTGCAATAGGTATGCAGATTTGATGAAATTACTTCTTTTGCTCTCGCGGCTGACGTAATCAGACCACAGTAAACACTTACTTACTTTACTATACTTCTTCGCTATCTTTCCTGACAATCGTGAGCAAGTTTCACCAGTTGGGCGGTAAAATCCGCGAAAAGATATAAAAGCCACGACACACGCTGTTAATTGTGCTCGCTCTGTTAAAGCGCCGCTTCTTTCTCCGTATTCGTTTTTGTCGCCATTCTCAGCAAGTTTTCAATTTCACTCAAGTCGTTATAATGTTCATTATTATTCGTGCGATTTGTGAAATATTGAGTTTGTAAAGCATTATTCATTATAAATTTTATTTACTGTCGTTGACACTGTTAATTACATTGAGGAAGAAGAGATAATGCTACACGTCGTTTATCAAATAAGAAGATTTAGAAAATAAAAATATTATAAACTCTGATAAAAATATTATAAATATTATAAAAATATCGAGACTCCATTAACTCCATTATGTGTGGTGTATGTGAGTGTTGAAAAAGTATCACAAAAGTTGCTATATAGAAACATAGGATCTGTTTAGCAGAATCTTAAAGTTAATGAAATTATCTATTTTCGTAAACAGATCACGAATAATCACAGAGTATCATAAATTGATCAGTTATTTCTAAACACATGTTTCGTTCTAAGAGAGATCTAAAATCGATATGGAATTTTAATATTTCTAGCGCTTCAGAGATTCTTTTTATAATGGTAATTAAGATAATAGCTTGAAATTCAAAGTAAGCGTTGTACTTAATTACGCATCGTTAACTACAGTACGTTTCTGCAATCATTCTGAAATGATCTAACCCAGGATTTCTCTTCATCATCAAATTCAGTTCTTCGCAATAAGATTCTATGAAATGTTCTTTGTTTCCTTTGTTTTTCTGCTGTGCCTTCTATCATCTTTCATCTTTATAACTTTAACCTAGTATAACAGACTACTTTAAACGAAGAATCTTGTTTCTTAATTCTTTTCATGATAATAAAATAATTCCTGTACTTTTCCACAACTTCGAAATCATAGCTTTTTGATTTTGACGTTTTATTTTCGTAGAGACATTAACATTCCTTAAAGATGTCGGTAACAAAAATTTTTTCCACTGCATAATCCGTTTTCTTTGTTAAATTCATTTCGCTTATTTGTAATATGAGAAGAAATCGTTATCTAAATTCTCACTATTTTATTTCACAAGGGATTCCAATGCAAATAAATGTTGTAAATTTCATGATGCGAGTTTGACAAAGTTTGTACTTCGAGTCCTCGATAGAAGGCTTCTTCGATGCTCGAGAGAAATCTAGCAATTGGAAGAGGACACTGCTAAAAGGATGCAAGAGGCAGAAGACAGAGATAGGAACACCTGACGTCAGATAGAAGTTTCTGAGTGATGGTAGAAACAGGGGTCAGAAGTTACTCTGTTAGTGGGTGAACATCTCGGGTCTACTTTCATAGAGTTAGTATAACACTTCTCCTTCGGTCACGATTTTCCTACTTTTCCCTCAACGACACAATAAATATAATATAAATATTCGTACGAATATGTTTACATGATCAATATCCCAATTATAACAATTAAAGCGACGTTCAACTTTGAAATTGCAAATTTTCTCATCGAGTATAAAGAAAAGAAGAAAAAGATAATAAGAGTTTGTAATTAGCAGTGAAACAAAAAACGTCGAATGAACGAAAGTAAAGTTCGTCATCGACTATCAAAGATAACACGTCGTAAACTTTCTCACACGCTTGAATTTTTCCTCACATAATTTTTATGCTTGAATCTTTCAAATTTTTCGCTTCCAATACTTTACTGACAAAGAGGAAGACGAAGTTTTCTATTATCCTTTACGCACCGTCGGCACCGTCAACGACAAATCTCGTTGAATATACGTTCTTCGTGTTTTCCTGTCATTCCGCCAAAGAACACTTTCACGAACTCGGCGATAAACTTTAGAACATCACAGCCGCTTGCAGACGTTTCTCTCGTACGCGACGTCCAAGCAACAACGTCGATTCCATTTCCAAATAGTTTCTCTTACGGAGAGGTTTTTTTTTCCCTCGCTCGCTCGCTCGCTCGCTCGCATCCGTGAAATCGAGAGTTACGTTTTTCACCGTTAGACACGCCGCGATACGTAAGACCAAGAGGAAGAAGAAGAACCGGAAGTCATGTCGATAGAATGTCCCTGACGCTTCCGTTTTCACGCACGGAATGCTTCTGCCCATCGAACGCGGCAATTCATCGTTCCTTTCTTCCTTCCGACAAATGACAGCGATTTATTCTCGCTTTTCCAATAATTACGATTACATTTTATAAATAATATTTAACGCTTTTGCGTTATTAAAAAGAAAAGAAAAAAAAAAAGAACTGTTGGCACAAAGTCGAAGCGAGAATAGTCGCGAATCAATCGCTTCAGTTCACGTATTCTCAGTTATTTACGTTAATTACCTCTGCATTTTGAACTCGTAATTTTCCATCATTTAGAGATTCTTTTTTACATTTCTTCTTTCAAATATTCCAATCATTCCAAGCGTACGATTCTATCTTCTGTATTTGAATACTTGATGTTGATCGATAATTACAATTTTTACAATTTTATGATTGCGTCGTAATCTCCCATATATATATATTTTCGTTTTTTGATTAATAAGACAGGCGCTAGGAAAAATTATGTAGATCCATCGAGATTGTAACCTTACCCTCGACGTCATTGCCAACGGATCGCAGGAAATCCGTCCAAGGTAGTCATTTCCGTTTTCACTTTCAATTTCAACTTCTTGCTCCTTTCCCCGTTTCTTTTACAACAACTTCTTTTTTCGTTTTGAATTTTTATTCGCACGTGTCCTCTAAAAAATGCTACTTGACGTTTTCTTTTTTTTTTTTCTTTTTAAATTTACATCCTGCGTGTTATTAATTATTTTCGTACATACATTTAACTATTTAAACAAGATCGATCGAAGCCTCGAAGAATTTATCAAAGTCGAGCGTTGAAGAGCACGATTCGATTCACCTTTCTCGAGGACACGAGGCGAATATACGGGACAATAGGTGAAGGTGAAGGATGCCACACAGTCTCTCACTTTCTCCAGAAACCATACTGATTAGCCAGACTCTAACCGAGTCGAAACGAGTTCAATGTAATTTACAGGTAGACGGAAGTGCTCGTTTTTCAGCAGAGAAAGATCTCCGGCAGGTAAATCGTTTCTGAAAATGATACGTTCGGAAACTAGTTTGATTACACCGTTCCAGGGATTCTTGAAACAAAAGTAACGAAT